CGCCCTCGCACTGCTGATCAGCTTCGGCGCGGCCCGCCACGCCGAGGCCGCGCACCTCCCGGCCGTCAGGCGCGAGCCCGACTCAAAGCGCGTCCTCGCAAGCAGGCTCATCCGCTCCGCCGACAGGCACAAGGAAAGCTCGCTGCGCGACGTTTTGGGAGAGTCGCATGGGTACGGCCCCGCTTTTAAGAGGGGGCGCGACCAGGAGAGGCGCAAGAGGCGCGCGGAGGAGACCGCGAGGGAAACAGTTTTGGAGAGGGAGGGCCGGATAAGGAAAGGAGGAGAAGAAGAAGAAGAAGAACAGGAAGACGAAGAGGAAGAGGAGCATGGGATACGGACGATGAGTGAGCTCTTTCAGTGGGCGATTAATAATACCGTCAGGGGAGCAAACTACAGTAAGGGGTTTAAGGTGGCCGAACGCAAAGTCGTTGGCGTTGAGGCTGGAAGCGGCGCTAAGGCTGTGGAGGTAGGGGCGACGTTCGATTACAAGTTGAATGAGGCGGCGAAGATGGACGCACGTACTGGAAAAGGTATGGGTGCTTCGAGGAGGAAGGCACTCCCAGCTGGGAAGCCGCGTTTGCAGCGCGAGACCGTGAGAAAAGCCCGCCGGAAGAGGGACGCTCCTGCCGGTAAGCCGACCTCGCCAAGCGTTGAAGACGATATGGAGATACTTAGCTCTGCCTCGGAGTCGGAATACGACATCATCCGAAGGAACGTCCACGTGGTCGACGCGGCCGGCATGTCAGCGAGCAAGAAGGTGCGGGCACTGCTGATGCTAGAGGAACTGTGCCACAGCATCGACAACGGGCGCGACCTGCAGGTGTCGGGAGGTATCAAGCCGCTGCTGCGCGCGCTGCAGAGCCGGCACGACAAAGTGCGCGCGAGCGCGGCGTGGGCGCTGGCGACGTGCTGTCAGAACAACCCCCCGGTGCAGAACGCGTCGCTGGCGCTGGACGCCGTGCCCATCCTGTCCAACCTGGCCGCACACGACGCCAGCTCCGGCGTGCGCTCCAGGGCCCTTTTCGCGCTCAATGCTATGCTGGAGCTGGAGAGCGCGCGCGCCGCGTTTGAGGAATTGCCCTACGCTATCGATGCCGTCAGGAATGCCCTCGTTGATACCTCGGATTTTAGAGCCACCAGACGCGCGCTCAACCTGACCGAGCTTCTCGTGCAGAAGAATCTGGACTCGTGGAAGACGCAGTTGGAGGCGTGGGATATTCCTATTCTGGTCGAACGGCTTATGAGGTCGCACCCGGATATCGATGTGAGGGAGTCAGCGGCAAGGACGATTGCTGCGCTTGACGGAAGACCAGTTGCCTGAGTCGACGTGATGCATCGGGCGCCATTTTCACCTTCACGTAGCTACCCAAAATATAATCACTCAACGGGTTGAGCTGTACAATACGTCGTCCTGGATATACCCACGGAAGGCAGTGGGAAACATCTTCCTGGCCCCCACTGTCTTCCAGGTACAGTAGAAGACTGAAATGACGACTACTGCCGTTGCGCGGCTGCTATAGAACTGGGCGGATTCAATGCACGGACATTGTGTGGACAGGAGAACCGGACAGACAACTTGCGAAGTTAAGCGCAGACTGTAGCACTACCGTATGTACAATATGTAGACAAACGTAGATTACAAGGAGGTAAACTACCACACTTCAGTCTGTGAACGAGCAAACAACCACGCTGATTTTTGTAACAAACGAGTCCGACCCAAAGGTCAGACTCGCCCCTTTTGGGATTTACATATGTTTTTTGGTGTTTTCTACTGCACTTCCACGAATTTGAATATACATACTGACCAGACTGGTACTTGGATCGATAATAAGCAAGAGGGAGCTAATCGAAGGATAGTTCTTCCAAGTACGTCTTGAATGGGTTCTTCCGTGGGTTGACAGCTTTTTTCTTCTTGTTCTGTACTAAAGTTCGTTTGTAGTAAAACGGGGGATTATGGTTTTTGCTGCAACTCTGAAGTTTGATGATAGATTGACGACGGAGATCGCAAGCAAAGCAGGTGGAAATTCACCGTGGACAGCTCTAAATGAGGGTTAAGTCCAAGACTCTGTAGCCATGGGGGATCGACGTTGTGCATGGCTTGAAAGCACTAGGCACGAGTCTTGTAACTTGAGCGGGCGATCTGTCGGCAGTGAGCGCTCATTCGTAAAACTGTCATCAAACTAGTTGTTGCTGTACTATACAGGGGGCCGAAAGTTGAATGGACCGCTCGTGTACAATTCCAAAACTCGCAATGGCTTGCCAGGAACGTGAGGGGCATACTTTTTCAGTTTCAGCACAAATAGACGTACAACCAGGGGTATCAACTTGGGCTGTCCGGTTGCAGAACGGCTTTCCAATAATTTTCAACTCCCGAAAACTGTTCACGTAGGGAATGCAGGTGTATGCGGAATGCAACGACAAAAGGAAAAGGAGATGAGAGAAAGTGGGCAAAGGAGAAAAGGAGACGTAGACAAGGAGAGGGAAAAGGGGAGAAAAAGGAAGAAGGATAGGGAGAAAGGACGAAGGAAGAGAAGCCAGAGCAAGCAAAAAGGACGACCGGAAGGGTACGGTTGAAACGAGCGGGATCAAAGGAAAAACCGATAGCAGACCGAGACGGGGGGAAAACATCGAGCGCAAATCCGCTGCACTCGAAAAGTATTGCAGCCATCATTGCGACTCGCCTTTCTGCCCGTTGGTACACTGGCAAAGTCCTGTGCTAACTGCATGTGCCAACTAGACCCCGATGCTGCACTTAGGCGCAATATAGCGACTTGTCCACTAGAGGTGGGATGGGGGAAATTTCCGTTCCAAGTTCCTGCTCGATGCGATATAGGTTGTGACGATCTTCGTAGGTGATGAGGCTAATAGCCAGGCCGCGATGGCCAAACCTTCCTGATCGACCTACCCTGTGTAAGTACGTTTCTGAGCTTCTTGGAAAGTCAAAGTTGATGACGACGTTGACAGCTTGAATGTCAATGCCACGGGTGAAGAGATCTGAGGAGACGAGGTTTCGACAGGCGCCAGAACGGAAGTCGTGGAAGACCCTGTTTCGTTGTTCCTGGGGCATTTTGGCATGAATGTAGAAGCACGAGTAGCCCAGCTCCGTGATTTTTCTTGCCAGTAATTCTACGCGGTTGACAGAGTTACAGAAGATGATGCTTTGATTGATTTGGAGTTTTGAGAAGAGGGTATTTAGGCAATGAACTTTTTTCGATTCCTCCATAAAAGCATAAAACTGGGTGATACCTCTCAAAGTGAGCTCGTCCATAAGGTTAATCTCATGTGGTTTTCTAAGCCAGCGATCGCGGAAACCCTTGACAGCGACGGGAAAAGTAGCCGAAAACAAGGAAATCTGCCTATCCCTCGGCATGTGCTTTCCAATTATCTGCTCGACAACCTGGGTAAATTCGGGGGCCAAAAGCTTATCAGCCTCATCCATAATAAGCATACCACACTTTGACAGTTTACAGACGCCCTTGTCTGCCATATCCAATACACGACCAGGTGTAGCCACTAGCACATGCACGGGCTGATAAAAGCGCATAATATCGTCCTTCAACGAGGTCCCGCCAGTGGAGACCATTACAGCCAGGCCTTCAATATGCCTGCCCAGTTTCTTACACACCTGTGCCGTCTGCAGCGCGAGCTCTCTAGTAGGGACAAGAATGAGGGCCGAGGCGATATTCTGCTTCAAGTCTGCGCGCTCCAAGATCGGGATAAGGTATGCTCCAGTCTTGCCGGTGCCATTCTTCGCGCGGGCGAGGATGTCGCGGCCGGCGAGAGAGACAGGAATGGCGGCCTCCTGGATGGGTGACGGATGCTCGAAGCCCATCTCGTAGATGCCCATGAGCAGGTCGCGCTTGAGGTAGTAGTCCTCGAACTCGTTGCCCTTCGTAGCGGTGACGTCCGACGTCTTGATGCGTGTGTCGCGCGGCGGCGGGCGCAGCTGGACGCGCCAGTCATTGGGGACGGCGGCCATGGTGCGAGAGAGGAGGTGATCGGCGGTGCGTGGGTCGGGCGGAAATGTATGACGACGGGGGGGGCGATGCGCGGCGCCGGGAAGGCTGGATTGGGTCGAGGGGCGAGATGAAGCGCGGAGGGAGTGGGGGAGGCCGGATCGGAGGGCTGCCGGTGGGGCGCCGCGGATGGCAGCGTGCGCGGCCGGGCGCGACTTGGGGGCTGTGATGTCCGTGCGGGCGAGGCGGGTGGTGGTGTCAGTCGGTGCTGGTTGTTGGGATAGGTGGGTGCGTTGAGGACGTAAGGAAGGCGGAAGTGATGCAGACGGGTGGGAGGCGGGGGAGTCGGGACGAAGGTGGGGGGGGTGGGGGAGAGGTTTCGTGTGACCAAGGGGTGGAGAGAGCGGGGCGGGCGGGACGGGTCGTAGAGGAGAAGACGTCCAGACAAATGGCAAAGCTGGCTGTGTGAGGTGATTGCAGGCAGGCTGCGGCGCTGGTGGAGGCATGTATGAAATCGGCTCACGTTCGGCTCCGCGCAACGCTGAGCCGGTTTCAGCCACGATGTAATTGGGCAATTCCATCACACCCGATCCAATTGCATCATACTCCTCCCGCTCAACGGCCTCCAGCAATGCACCGTCCTTCGTCACTGATCTGCCGCAATATCCGCTGGATCTTCCTTGATCTCCATCCCATCCAACCCTCGCTCCTTCCCACCCCCCCCCACCCCACCGGGATGACCCCCGACTTACTTTGCATGAGAGAACCGAAGAAAGACCAAATGCGAGA